TATCTACCTTTGTCTAAGAGCTTCTCTCTATGATATACATAACGTATAATTACAATCTCAAATTGTGACGCTTTCGGTTCCCAATCCCCCAAAAAAACTTTATGTTAACAGCCATGGACATAAATTCAATCTTGGGGGATTTAGGAGTTGGAGGGTTGTATGATTTACTTTTTCATATTTTTTGTTGACGGATCAAATTTAATGGGGCGGGCAACGGGTAATGGGGCGGTGGTCGTGTCTACTCTAAGACCCGATGGACCAAAAGTTTTGATGCCACGTATACAGTCCGTCGAGCTAGGGGTATATTTGTTTGGATAGTAAGAGAGAAGGGATTTTTTTGATCCAATAGTATAATAAAAGGTACTTCTAAATAATTGCTAATGGTAGAGGGATATATCAAACCCTTTTTCTTAAAAAAATGAATTGCAATTCCAGAAAAAGTGGTAGAGAGCAGAAAGATGAAGATTGCTTATCTGAAAAGAGTTGAAACAGAGTTAAATAAGGGAACGTATAAAACAATTTGTTGGTCATGTTTCTAGCAAATTAATCAAAGTCATCTTTAATACTCCTATTTATCTGAAAAATCGGATAACGTTAAATTTAGATATGGTTCTAAGGGTATGCGAATGCCTTTGATACAAAATGACAATACAGGTATTTTTGCTATAAAATGGGAATGATGGACGGGAAGACTGAAATGAATTAGAAAAACAAGCACAATGAAATCTTAATGTATCTCGGAGAACTTGCCTCTATTGCGGTCTATCCCCTTTTTATAGTAAAGGATAGCTGCTTTATCTATAACAACATAATAAAATAATGCATATAGTGGAGGACCCATGATGGTTTGTCTCTTCCTTGATTCTCGCCAAGATTCTCTCCCTCGGTGCGGTTGTAACGGCTCTTGTCTGCGAGCTTGGCACTGGCTCGAGCTCGGTGTTAGGTCAAACCCCCAGTCTTGGTTCGAGCTCGGTTCTGCCTTGGGGCATCGATATTCGGGGCCCGTATCGATCGGTGTTGCCCCGTATTCGATTCGAATACGGGCTCGATAATGATATCGAGTTTTGCCGTTTATAGCGCGAATCTCGACGTCCCTACTTCGGAATTCGTCCGAACTTGTCATGTGAATACCCTTCGATTGAAACGTCATTGTCTCGACCGGCCATTATGACTGAGAATCGATTTTGACCGTACATAACTCCTATACTACTAGCATTCATGTCGTTTTCCTAAGAAAATAATTTAGTTGAAGACTGTTCTGTCATGATGTAAATACATTTAATAAAAAATCAAATGAAGGAAGATGGTAGTACAAGATGAACACAAACATTAAATTTGTGTATTTATCATCTGAAGCGATGACCTCATTATCTCAACCGTCTCAATTTACTGTTTGCATTTATTTTGATTTTAATGGTCACCCAAACTAATATATTGCTCCCCGCCTCCTAATCCTTTCTTTTTTCAATGTTCAAATTAATCCAATCTCGTGTATTTGTACGCCAAATTTTGCGCAAAAAGTGTCGATGTATTGATGATAAGTGATTAATTGGATCTAGAATAAGACTTTACTTTCTTGCTCTAAAAATCCGATAAACCCTTGAGATATTCGTAAGAAGATCAAGATATAAAATAATATTTTTCTAAAAGTCGATGGTATAAAAAGACGTTCTTCCTCAAGATCAACTCGAAATGCGACCGGACGCTTCTTGATATTTATATAATTCAAGAAAAAGATTCACACAATGCTCGACTTTTATGGAGATCAAATACGACATTTCAGGGAGGTCCGCATCTACGTTTGAAAAATACCCCTCAAATCACGAAGGATAATCAAGAAAAAGAATCAAGGGAACAAACACAATTGTACCTACAAAGATTCATCCATAAAATTATTTTTCTTCAAAAAAGTTAATATTTGTTTTAACTAATTTTAAACAATAAATTATTATAAAAAATATATTGGTTGAATATACATATTGCGAAGCAATATTGAATGACACCTTTTGGTAAAGAGTATCATCGTATCATATCATCATCATACTATATTACAAGTGTGAAGTTCCAAAGTTAAGGTTGAATTACTAAAATATCCATCATAAATTGAAAGACGTTTTTGCCCTATATTAGAAGCCAAATAACTATTCTTCATTGAAGTACAAAAATGTAATTTCAAATGTTAGATGCTGGATTTTTAAGTCTAATAACTTGGAATGTTGAAAAAACTTTATTATAGTTACTTCAACAATAAAAGTACTAACCACGTATAAGGTATTCTTTCACAAGTAGAGATCATGGAATATTAATATGACAATTAATATCTCATCTTCAAAAACAAAAACAAAAAATACGATGGATCGGAGGTTATGTACGTTGGGGAAGAACGGAAACGAAAAGCTCGTTGGTTTATTTCCTTTTTATCTTCTCTTTGGTGTTATTTTTGTATTTGAAGGACTTATCAAATGATATCTTGGCTGCCTTAGTTATTTATCCTTTGTCATCATTATTACCAGTTAAGGAGTGACTCGGAATTCTAAAGCTTCTTGCTGTACATGATTAATACCTCAGGGACACTCAAATCCATATATAGCACTTAAGCAGTACTTTCCTAACATCGTCGGTTTGAATATCAAAATTAGGACCATTGGTGGGCTCTTAGAACTTTACTTTGTTCGTCGTATTAAGGGTTTATTTTCGGGAATAATACCCCAAATCTAATTAAGTTTAGGGACGGATCCAGAATTTAATATTTATGGGTTCTGCAACGACCTCAAGTAAATTTCAAAATAGTAACTGGATTCACATTTAAATATTTATAGATATTCAGTGATTTTTTTTAAACACATTTATACTGTTTGGACAAAAACTACTGAGTTTACGTGAACCCATAGATCGCAAGCTAGATCTGCAGGAGGGGTGAGGGGACTAGGTAGTTGTTTGGATGGAAAGAAGATATTCATAGCGTATCTTTTTTCATCTTGCTAGAACTTATAATGCAAATAATCTTTATATATCAGCTATCACTACTAATATATTTAAACATGTTATTAATTGTTTTTTTTAATCTCATTCAAATATTATATTGTACTCTAAGCAACTGTTTCTATTTTAATATTAAGAGAGCATTGATATACTGCAAGTTCTATGCTAAATCCAAAATATTTTAGCATTAGTGTTAGCATTGATATAGCATTAGTGTATGAATACACGTACAATACACGTATCAAAAAACTAGTTGACTAATACATCGCAATCTCAAACCACTCTGGCAAGCGCACCCTTGAATTTATCGACTGATTTGTCATAAATAACATATTTGACCTAATTATAACATCACATGCATATACGTCGTGGTATCATCACATTGATTACATCTTCTGTTTATAATTATAATATTGACATGGAACTACTACTGGCACACTATCAACCCTCTAATTCTCTTAAATGTACAACGTGTTACTCCGCCATTGTTGGTACATACATGGAGCTGCGCACCTCATGATATTACTCAACCCTACAATATTCATTACAAAGTGAATACTTCGGTTTGCATCACCTATCTTTTCTAAGATTTTCTGATCGGTGTACGTACGTATTCTGAATTAGTTAGGTGGTGTACGGGGCGGCTCAACAGATCTCGGGGTCTAAGGCGAAATAATATTCGGAGGTCCTTAATCTCAGTATAATTTCACTAGTGAGATCTGGGAAGAGTAGTTTGTACGCAGACCTTACCCCTACCCTGGAGTAGAGAGGTTGTTTCTGATAGATCCTCGGCTCTCTCCCTCCAAGAACTCTCCACCTTGCTCTTGGGGTGATTCGAACTCACAACCTCTTAGTTGGAAATGGGGGGTGCTCACCAATAGAGCAACCCACTCTTGTCAAATATACTAATTAATGAGGAAAGAAAATTATCATAATTTATAAATTTATTGTATAAAATAACCTCAATCAAGTAACAAAAAATATATTGTAACACTTTTTTTATTCTAATTCTTTATATAGATTATATAATATATAATAGTAACAATAATAATAAGAATTTAAAATAAATTTGGGGTCTTCAAAATTTAAGGGCATAAGGCAATGGCCTCACTACCCAAAGCCTTGATGTCGTGTAAGAAACTTGACTACGAAAGAGGTTGATGGGTCTTAAGGTGCATTAAATAAGTTTTTCATTTTTCTATTTAATTGTGGAAAAGAAAAGTTAAAATATAGTACTCTATATTCCATAGTCATTTGATGTGTGGATTGTGGAACGACTTTTACCAGCTTTTGCAAGAATTAATCAAGATTCAAAAGGGCAGTGGCCCAATATTTTGATTTTAATTTTTTTTTCAGGAATCTTTATACAAATAGGTAGCTTAATTTACTGTTATACTTATCTTAATAGGTACGCGTAGATTATATGTTGACTATCATATAATATACATTATTTTTAGTTTAAATTGTTGGATAGGAACAACTATTTAAGTTAATTTCTGCAACGTGGGAAATTAAGGCTGATCCTTTTGCGTCTTGGTGGGGCCAAACATCACAAGAAAGCATTCTTGCAAAAGTGCTATACTTTATGTATAACTCTGGCAACAGTCCATATTGTAGCATAATCTCTATTCTCTGCTTTGCATGGGATCAAAGAAGAGCTTCTGAATTGCTAGTTTAAGTAATTTTCACTCATCATTTGAGAAAATAACCAACATTTTTAATTTCTTGCTCTCTTTTTTCGCAAGAAAACCTGGGCAGTTTTCACTTGGCCCAGTTACATAGTCTTCTACTAAAGATAGAACAAGAAACACACCTTAAACCTACCAACACAACACATGCTACTTTTCCAAGATCACCCTTTAGCTAGAAACAAACCTAACCTAGAAACCCAAAATTTCTAAAAGAACCCAAAAAAAAAAAAAAAAGGAAA